TCTTGAGCCAGTTTAGTATTTTCCCCACTAATGGTTAAGGTTAGAATTGCGGGAGGGGGGGGGGGGGGGGGGGGGTGATCCTACTGTAGATCTGTACATTGGGGAAACTTTACTCCGGAGCGTGTTTTGGAGAAAGTGAGTGTCTAGGTTGTATGAGTTTTCCATCATATATCACAGTAGCGCACAATGAGGACTGCTGATCGGACAGAAATTCAACCATAGGAGCCTAGCCTAGTGGCTATTCTGTTTCCACTGAATATTCCCCAGAGTGCTTGGCTAAAAGTGGCACATATGTCAGGTACAACCGCACTGCGACCTCAGAGACCGAATCCCGACCCATATCCGTGCGCGAATCTCCTCACCGACGTTAGGCTGGTAGTTATTTATTTGAGGGACTTCAGTGCATGTACGCTATTTCTCCATGGAATTTATCTCTATCAATACGAAGCTTTTATTCCAGACGGTTTGTATAAAATGTAGACTTGCACTATACACACATGTGTTCGGTGATTTAGCTTGAGCAAACCCTCCACCTGAGTGAGAATGCCTTTTTTTTTGTGTTAAATGTTATTCATTATTAATTACATGTGATGGCTGAAATGAGAAAGAAGGGTCTGGGAGAGACTTGGATTCATTCACCTGATTCACCACATGAATGTAGGTCTAAAGGTGGAAAAGTCCGTTGTTGAGTGAATGGAACGCGTTTTATTCTATTCGAAAGTGATAGGCCGCGTGCTTTCTTTACAACCAATGTAGGGCTTTGTTTTTTTGTCTATTTATATAATCTGCTAAATTTATTCCAGGAAATACATACATTGATTTTCTTTGCAAATGAACACATCTTCTGTGTCCTTGGTTAAGATGGTGCAGCGTTGGCGCTTGCCATTGAACACCAGCCACGAACCAGCCTGATTGGATTCGGCTGGTCCCTGCCGGTTGCCCATTGGCCACTGCAATAAATACGCTTATCTCATTGCATACGAAGCGCTTTCCTTTTTACTAGAACCTAAACACATTTTAAAAACATAGCCCGGATAATAACACACATGGAATTGCCACTCTTTTTATCCAATGTGCGAAAGGAATAGACAACCAACCGTCTATATTCATTGAGGAGTATTTGTTTATTTTCATGAAATAGAGATAAAAAGGTAAGTGCAATGTGAAACCTTGAACACTAACAATGGATTATTTATTGTGTGATGCGATGCACGCGAGGAAATAAATATGTTGACATATTTTTTCACATTCGGCGCCATTTTCAGACAGACCCTTTAAACACCCGCCGTCCGCCTATTCTCGGCAAGTCTCGAACGCTCGGATTTATTTGATAAAAGAACGTTGCATTCTAACCGATACATGATTTGTTTACACGTTTCATTGATCGAAGGCGTGAGAATAGAAGTCATTTGTGCGCCACACAATAAAGATATTTATAGAAAAATCTAGAATAAGGCTGCTGATTTGAGGGTAGGCATTGTGGTCGGCGTGGCAGAGTTCATAAATAGGAAACAGTGAAACAAATATGTAACATTTCAACTGATTCACAAATATCGGAAAATAATACAAATGTATGGTTGGGAATTTGGGATAAGGGAAATGCGACTGAATAGCAAACCCTCAGATCAAAAAATTGAGGACCCCGCAATGGACACCTTTAGCAATGTCAAAAGATTCAAGACACTTTGTGGAGTAAAGATATTTTTTCTTTTTTTAAAAGGTTTTAAAAAAAAAAATGAAAAATTTTAAAATTT